CTGGAAAACCTCATTAATGTGGAGCTCTTAAACGGTTGATTAATTTTAGCAAAATTTATGATGCACCCTTGCTTTTCTTTGAAGCTGCCGTCTTACATGCGAAAAGCAAGTTAACTTTGAGATCTCTGTGTGAGCCAACTGCTCCCTAATTCTTAGATACCCTATTTAGGTACAACAAACATAAAGGAGAGAAATGCTACACTAGAGCATGACACAGTCACCCTGTCGGATGTTCAAAGTGGTTCGATTCAAATCCCTTTAACACAGCCTGATAACCACAAACTGAAAACTCCCAACTTCTAGATATTTAACTTCCCATGAAGATAATTCAAAAAAAAATCATTAGCCAGTCTTTCAAAAACAAAAGGAAAGATGGACACATAAACACAGATTACAAGAGAAGTGTCTCTAAGTTACATCTGTGCACACAACAGAAACGCCGGGCTCTCGGCTGCACTAGAAACATCAGGTTCTCCCAAAGCCACCTTTAAACAAGCTACATTTCTCCAGAGGGAAAAAATGAACCTAAGGAAACAACCTAATAGTGATCTATACATATCCTGAACTATATCTCAATATTTCAATCATCTCCCCAGCTTCCTCCTATCCAGTATTTGCTTTTATTCTTTGTCTCCCTCTGCTAGACTCTGTTTTTCTGATACAGACATCAGGAGGTTAAGGGCTCAATTATCAAGTCTGTTGAATTCTCAGCTTCACGTTACTTAGGAGGTTCTCTGTTGCTCTTTGGAACTACACTGCAAAATCTCTTTCCTTCTCGGCTTTTTCCTACTTGTAACGTCTATTTCCGACGCACCCCGGTGTGTTAACCCACAAATCTATTTGGGGTAAATGGAGAGAAACCCTGAATTGGTTTGGGAGACAGAAACATTCATAAAAATAACTGTTAAGAGTGCCTAGCCAGACTGAACCTGAAGCACTTGCAATCTTGAAACCTAATGTAAAATCCACATGGAATTTACAAAATATGATTCAAGTGGTTCTAATTAGCCCCGGTCTGTGGAAATTTGGGAGGAAGCGGCTCTTTGATTAATGTTACAAACCAGAAAGGAAACATATTTTAAAAGTTAAAGTAGTAGCATTGTGGAATACGGAATCATTAGCAGCATGCATTTATGATACCTGCTTCAATCAGCTGGCTTGGGGTTTTGTTTTTCGGGCTTTTTCCTTTTAAGAAAAAAAGGAAGACAGGATGCAAGTAAAATCTTTTGTTTATGAAAGTGTGCCACACTTTTATCTCCCAAGGAATTTATATAGCTGGACTGAGTATAAATCCTTCCGAAAATGAAATCAGCAAAAACGAAACAGGGGTGAAGGTACTGGGGGATGGGGGGGAAGGTGGGGGGGACTACCCCGTCAGTGAACCTTARTGGATACCCCTGGCTTGGACAGATAGCAAATTCAGCTTTAACAGGAACAGGGTTGGAAAGGGGAAGAACAAGATTCATACCTGCAGCAAACTCTTCGCAAAATGGGGGGCTATTCTTAATAAGCTCTTGAAAGTTACTGTGCAAGTTTGCTTGGGCTTGGAAAGAAAAGGAAATAGGGTTTTTTCCAGCTAGCTTGATTGTTTTGGGTGGAGCTCAAACGTGTGTATATATGCTGTATATAAAAATGAATTACTAATTCTTTCCTGGAAACTGTTTGAATTACAATCTGCAAGATACAAAAACACACCTTTATTTTAACACTGATTTTAATACAGATAGAATTGGAGGGAGGGGGGAAAAGTGAGGGAAATGTTTTTTCTCGCAGTACATAGCAAAATCCTTAAGCAAGAATAAAATCCTCCACATACAGCCAGAGACACTTTGCTCAGCTGTACAACACCAACTTAACTCCAGCCTTCAGTGGCTTTTCCCTGTACAAAGGCTTTGCTCTGAAACTGCAAGAATGACAATGTCATGTGTGTGGAAAGCTGACACTTGGATCTTTTAAAAAGAAATGAGGAAAAAATAAGCTGTTGACTTCTTGGTTAAAGTATTTTCTTGTTCTAACTCATGTTCTTATGTCACTGGGCTAAAAAAAAAAAGAGAGAGAGGGAGAGAGAGATATGACTTTCCTTGAATGATCTGTTTAACCTAAGCCAGAGGAAAAAAAAAGAAGTCATTAATTACTTATGTGAGCTATTGCTTCTGAAAGACAATAAACCTGCCTGGTCGCCATGGATATGACATATTTGCTCTGAAAACAACACAATAATTAGCAAAGGGGAAAGATACAAGGAGAATATGCAAACTCCTGAGTTTAAAGCCATAGTGTTTCCTTTTTTCCCCCTCCTCTTTTGACTTGTCAGAGTCAATTCTGTTTGCAATTCAAATCAAACAAATAAACAGAATACTTACAAAAAAATTTAAATTATCTACCATATATCAAATCACATACACCCACCCCCCCMAAAAAAAAAMCAGAAAAAAAGGGGAAAAATTAACAAGGAAAAGAAGATTTAAGTCTAGTATAGACAGATCATAAACCACTTGGTGTTTTCCGTATGGGTGTATGTATGCATATATATATGTGAAATATAAATGTATATACACACACAAACATAGATGAGTTGTAAGGGTTACATGCACTATTTCCTCTAGGATTATTCTTTTATTTTTACGTTGAGTACAGAAGCATACGAAGAAGAAAAACATCTGCTTTAGGGAGTGGAAATATTCTGAAGGTATACTAAAAGAAAGTACGAGGGGTTTTTTACTGTGTTAAACATGCATTGTGTCGGTAGTGTATTTTTTGCAAACCCTTGAAGTTTTATCCAAAAGATGAGAAAAAAAACACAATTGATGTACACCGTATGTCAACCTAATCAACACACCAGCTTACCAAGACTTCTCAAATTTTAAGCATAAAAAAAATTCTTATCTCACCTCAATTAATTTAGTTCTAAAGTGATATTACACTGAATCACATGTAATAATGCAATGGATAAGTTAAGAAATAATGAAAACTGAATTATATGAAGAGAGACTTCTTTGAAATAATTTATAAATGTTACAGGGAAAAATGTTTTTTAGATTGCTCTCTCATTAAGATGAGACAAAGACTATTAAAACCTTCTCTAATGCGGTAGCTTTCTGGATTCTGACCTTCCACATTTAGAAACCAAGTAATAAAAACACCCTAACAAGCACTTTATCTTAAGAGATATTTGACTTTGAACTTATTTTAACTTTAAAAAGACTTGGAAGGTATAAAAATAACAATATAGTTGCCACAAGTTTCTGTTGCTGTTGTGTTCACAAAGCTAAAAAAAAAAAAAAAAAACAACCTTTAGAACAAAATAAGCAGATTAAGGAAACATCCCCCTAATTTAACTCTCTCTTTTTCTATTTTTTTTTAACAATAGTTTTTAGCTGGACGCTTTGATCTTGAAAGGGTTCTGCTATCTTGTGTGATGAGGGGGAAAAAATATGATCTGTTTTAAATGATGATGCAAAAAAAAGGATCAAAGCCCTGACTTTCTGTTAGCCATAATAAGCTCTGTCTTGCACAAAGCTTCAACTTCAGGCTTTAATATATAAAATATACAGGAGCCCAATAAAAGCGCTGAAAAGGTACAAAGTCTGAAAACAAAAGGGGACGCTGCTCCTTTAAACGTTTTAGTGCATATGGAGTTTGATTTCTGAAAGAGATCAGTTTAACATCTCCATAGAAACCAGCAACAGATTATCATCAACAGAATAAATAACTAGTCTAATAAATTAAACAGGAGGCATAAGATCTGGAAACTTGATTACCGAAGTTCAACAATATTCTCCCATAAACTCTTCCAAGCCACCTTTAGAGTAGCTAACAAGGTGGCAGCGACACACAGATAAAAGGTAGGTGGGAAGCAGGCAGGACTTATAAAATGGTAAGTCCAAAACCTTCGCAAGAAATTATACCAACACGCTGACAGTCAGCAAATCAATAGAGCAAATAAATTCATCAATGAAATTTTGGGAGACACAGCTACTCTTCCAGGCAGCGGGCTGCCAGGACCCGCTGTGCAGTGCAGCGCGGACAGGAGGGGGCACACAGAAGGTGGACGCGCAGCTCCTGAGAAGTTTCACCTTTCGGGTCCGAAAGAGCAGCAGGGCTCGGGTCAATCGATCAAAGCTGCCGTGATTCGGAGCAGCCACCGGCCACAGCCCACCCCGCAAAGTTTGCCGCACAAGTTGCCTGCCGCGCAGCCAGGCGCCGGCCCCGAGGCGAGCGGCAGCGCCAGCCCCGCGCCCGCCCGAGCCTCCTGACAGCTCGCTCTGCGCCCCGGGCCGCCGCCGGGACCGCCTCTGCTCTGCGCCCCGGCTGCCCCTCGCTCCTCCTCTGCTCCCCGGGACCGGTGCTCCGCGGTCGGCGGCGCTCAGGGTCCCAGCACGGCACCGCTGCCCGCCTTGCCCGTCTGCGCCCCGCGCCCCCGCAGCGGCCCGGCTCTGAGTGACGGCTCGGACACCTGTTCCCCGACCCCAGAGCCTCCAGCACGGGCAGCCGCTCCCCCGGGAGGCTCGGCCCGCGCCCCCCACCCGCCGCCACCCCGGGCGGCCGTTCCCCGTTCGCCACTGCCCCGCCGCGAACGGGGGAAAGGGGGAAAAGGGAAGAGAAGGGGAAGGAGGCGGAGGGGGAAACTTCCTGGCTCCGCATGGCAAATCAGCTGCACATTCTGCAGATACCACCGGGTAAAAATAACCTGCTGCTTCGCCCGGGGGGCCGGACACGGGCTGCCCCGAGCCGCGCTCCCGGCCGCCGCGGCCCTTGTCCGCCCCGTGTCTGCCGGGGGGCTGCGGCCGTACCGCTGCGGGCACCGGGAGAAGCGCTGCCGGCCCCGGCCCGGCCACTTTGCACAAAGTTCCCCGGCACGGTTCACCCCGCCGCACCCGGCCCTCTCCGCCAAGCGCTCCAGTCGCCACTCGCCCAACTTTGCTGCCGCCTATCCCCTCCCACCTCTCGGTGCCTCGCCGGGACCCTCGGGCGGTGCGGCGCGGCGGGGCTGCGGTTACCTGCCCTCGGCGCGGAGCGGGAGCACGTGTTCCCCCGTCCCCTGCCCGGGCTCCTGCCAAAGTCTTGGAAATTGACGGGCGCCGCCGTGGCCGCAGCTCCGCCGCC